AACTGGAGGGAGGGTGGTGGACTGGGTGTGCTTCCGGGTGGGCCAGGCCCAGCACTCCCACTGAGGACAGCCTGGGCCCAGCTGGCTCCATGGCTCCTGGTGGACCTAGAGCAGGGCGTCTGGGGTTCCTCCCAGCACAGATCCTACCCAGGTCTGGAAGGATGGAGAGGAATGGGGGTTCAAAGAGAGAACCTGGCACCTTCTGGCATCTTGGAAAAGCTGATCCCCAAGGACACCCAGCCCTGGTTGTGCTGCCCCCAGAAGGCAGCTAGGAGACCAGGAGTGGGTGTCGGGGCAGAGATGAAACTCCTGGAGGCCATCTTGGAGGGTGATTCCTGAAGGAGGCAACTCCCCAGGCTGAGTGCTGGGGAGGGGCGGGCCATGGGGGAGGGCCTCCTGCGGAAAGGGCCTTTAGCACCACCAGACTCAAGGCAGGCAGGAAGAGGCTGGGCCTCTGGGCCTCCAGACTGAGGCTGTCACCTGTGGGAGACAGAAGGGAGGAGAGACTGAACCATGACCTGCAGGGCACAAGAGGTAAGGCAGCTCTGGGTCCCTCCGGGCCTCAGCCCTCCCCTGAATGCCCAGGGGCTACACAGGACGCCCCAACTGTGACTGCAGGACTTGCCACCCTAGGAAGGGCCAGGCAGAGTGTGGGTGAGGACACAGGGGCTTCTGCCCTCCTGGGCCCAGCCTCCCTCTGAGCCCAGCTCCTCACCTCAGTCCCACCTGCCCAGCCTCGCTCCCCGGCCAGGGCGGGGCCAGGTGGGCATCATACAAAGACCTTGGCCAGGGCATCGGCGCCCGCGCTGGCGATGAGGGCCTTGCTGGGGTGGCAGGCGACGGCGTGGATGGCCTCCTCGTGCTTCTTGCGGTGGGCCGTGATCTCCTGCACACACGTCTTGTTGTCCAGGCTCCACAGACGCAGGGAGCAGTCGTGGCCTGCGCAGGTGTGGGCAGAGCGAGCAGTCACCCAGCAGCTCCGGACCCACAGTTCCTTGCTCAGATCCGACCCCCAACCCCTCGGCTGGCCTGTCCCAAGGCCTCGGAGCCAGGTGGAGGCTCAATTCTTCTCCTGCCTCCCTCTGCCCAGTCACCTCCTGACATCCCCGCCTGTCACCCTCCATCTAGTCACAAGTGTTTACTGAACAACTACTGTGTATGG